CACTTTCCCAATTCACTTCATCTTCAGACATAGCCTTATCGCCTCCAAACCCTTCAAACGCCATTTTGCTCACCACCTCCTCATCAATCGACATTTGCAATTCTTCTTCTTTTTCAGTGATGTTCATAACAATTCTTCCCCCTTTTTGAGAGCCTTGCCCACAAGGATCAAATCGCCCAAATTTCTTGACCAGAAATTTCTCGTCTTCCCAAGAGACCATTCCCTGCACCTTGTCTCCCCAAACCACGAGCAGCTGAGTAATCACTTCGCCATTACGTGTGATAGACCTCCTGTCAAGAACTTCGGTGGGCTCGATCTGGTAATTTCCCTCGGCATCCGGTACAGGCAACTCCTTAACAGGTGAGTCTGTGTTACCCAGCTTTTTCTTAAGTAATGACACATGGAACACAGGGTGCACCTTAGACCCTTCCGGTAAGTTTAATTTATATGCGACCTGACCCATTTTCTCGATGATTTGGTAAGGGCCATAGTAGCGAGAACACAGCTTCAAGCTCTTGCGGAGGTGGACTGAATTCTGTTTGTAGGGCTGCAGCTTGAGGTAAACCCAATCTCCCACCTCAAATTTTTTCTCAGTTCTTGATTTGTCTGCATAGAATTTCATGCGGTTCTGAGCAGATAGCAAATTTTCTCTGAGTTGTTGCTTCATTAGCTGCCTCTGTTGATTGAACTCTCTTGCATCTTGGTTGGTTGAGTCATGTAATCCCCTCTGAGTGAAATCTGGTGGGGTATAGCCGTAGAGGGCCTGAAAAGGGGTAGTTTTGAGAGATGTGTGGTAGTTAGTGTTGTACCACAACTCAGCTAGAGGTAGCCACTTCAGCCATTGTTTAGGGTTAGCATGAACCATACACCTTAGATAGTTCTCTAAACACTGGTTCAACCGCTCTGTTTGACCATCGGTTTGTGGGTGGTAGGATGAGGAAAAATTTAGCTGCACCCCCATTAACTTAAATAATTCCCTCCAGAAATTGCTGGTGAAAATTCTGTCCCTGTCAGTTAGGATGCAAACTGGCATACCATGCAATTTGTAGATCTGATCAAGGAAAACTTGAGCAACTCCTTGAGCAGTATAAGGATGTGAAAGAGCAATAAAATGCCCATATTTAGTTAACCTGTCCACCACCACTAGTATAGAATCCTTCCCTCTGGACTTGGGCAATCCTTCAACAAAGTCCATGGATAAATGTGACCATGCTTCATGTGGAATTGGTAAGGGCTGCAATAGCCCTGCTTTCTTCTCATGTGATGCCTTGTTTGTGCAGCACACCTCACATTCCTGCACATATTTGTTTACTTCTGCCTTCATTTTTTGCCAAAAGAAAATTGCCTTGAGTCTTCTGTAGGTGCCATTCACCCCTGAGTGCCCACCATAAGATGAGTCATGCATAGCCCTGATGAGGTTGTGTTTGGTAGGAGAGTCATTTCCTACTATAATCCTTCCCTTGTATTTGATTAAGCCCTCCTCAGTTTTGACCATATCTCCTTTCATTGCATTCCAATATTTGTCATCAGTATCAAGCTTGCCTTCCATAAAACCTTTAAGAACATCATCTTCCTTATAGCTCTCAATGATTTCCTTCAACCAGGTGGGTACCATGGTAGAAAATGCTGTGCAAACCCCTCCTTCTCCAACCCTTGACAAGGCATCAGCTGCCTTGTTTTCTTTTCCTTTCCTGTACTGTATATCATAGTCCAGTCCCAATAATTTGATTATCCCCTTTTGTTGCCAAGAGGAGGCTACCTTTTGTTCCATCAAATATTTTAGGGCCTGCTGGTCAGTTCTTATAGTGAACCTGTGGCCTTGTAGATAGTGTCTCCACTTCTGTACAGCTAGGAGTACTGCTAAGAACTCTCTTTCATAGATTGAGAGTGCTTGATTTTTTGGGCATAAAGCCTTGCTTAGGAAGGAAATGGGCCTGCCTCCTTGCATGAGAACTGCTCCAATGCCCACCCCACTTGCATCTGTCTCCACAATAAAGGGCTGGTCAAAATTTGGCAAAGCTAATACAGGTGCTGTTGTCATTGCTCTTTTAAGCTTGTTGAATGCTTCCTCAGCCTCTTTTCCCCACTTAAACTGGTCCTTCTTGAGTAGCATGGTAAGAGGTTTGCTGATTAAACCATAGCCCTGAATAAACCTCCTATAATACCCAGTGAGGCCTAAGAATCCCCTTAACTGCTTGACATTATTAGGTACTGGCCATTTCATCATGCTTTCAATCTTCTCAGGATCTGTTGAAACACCCTCAGCAGATATTATATGTCCCAGATATTCAATGCTGGTGTCCCCAAACTTACACTTGCTCCTCTTTGCATAAAGTGAGTTTGCCCTCAGCAATTCAAGGGTATGCCTTAGGTGTGTTAGGTGATCCTCCCATGTTTTGCTGTAGATCAAAATATCATCAAAAAAGACCAATACACTCTTCCTTAGGCAATCTGCAAATACTTGGTTCATGAGGGATTGGAATGTTGCAGGAGCATTGCACAGTCCAAAAGGCATGACTAGAAACTCATAGTGCCCACGATGAGTTTTGAATGCTGTGAGGTATCTATGTTCCTTGTTCATCAAAATTTGGAAATATCCAGACCTTAGGTCTACCTTAGAAAAAAACTTTGCCCCATGTAGTTCATCCATCAATTCTTCAATGATTGGTATAGGAAAATCATGCTTCACAGTTAGGCTATTTAGGTACCTATAATCAACACACAACCTCCATGTGGAGTCCTTCTTCTTTACTAACAACACTGGTGAGGCAAAAGGAGATTTGCTGTTTTGAATAACCCCGGTTGTCAGCAGTTCCTTCACAATTCCTTCAATGACATTTTTCTGCTCATGTGAGGTTCTATATGGATACTAAAATTTAGGAATGCTCCCAGGTTTAACAACAATCTGATGTTCAACCCCCCTTTCAGGGGGTAACCCTTGAGGTTCTGTAAAAATATCCTCAAATTCCTGCAGTAAAAATGTGAGATCTGTTTCCACAGCATTTGGGCAGTTCTCCACTGATAGCAGATACATTTCTTCAACCTGGTCCTCCTCTGCATGCAGTAATTGGTGTAGGGAGTCCCCTGTGATGAAATGGCATTCAGTCCCCCTTGTAAGTGCTTGAAGAGTGACCCTTTGTCCCCCAATTCCTACTGTAACTGTCATTGAAGCATAGTCAATTTCAATGGGAGTGCAAGATTTCAACCAATCTCCTCCTAGAATGATATCACAACCTTCACTCTTAAGCACCCTTAAAGGGTAAGTGATCTCCTTTCCTTGCATTTCCCAGCAAAAATTATTTGTCTGTTGTGAAGTCATCAATCTCTGTCCACTGGCTACCTTCACCATTAAAGGTTTTACTGGTAACAACTCACAACCCATTTGTTTGGCAGTGGATTCCTTGATAAAACTTAGAGTGCTGCCAGTGTCCACCAAAATAAGAAGCCTCTGATTCCCACAATACCCATGAAACTTTAAGGTAGTTAGTCCCCCTTCACCTGCCATAGCATTCAGTGACACCAAGACCTCTTCAATCTCATTCTCCAAATCAAGGTCATTGGTTTCAGCCCCTCCATCAGTATGTAGGTAGTCCAACTCTTCTTCTTCTGTCATAATCATGTAGTTGATCCTGTACTTGCACCTGTGACCAGGCACAAATTTCTCATCACAATTATAACAAAGA